GTGATGGGGATTCGAACCCGCGACCCTCAGATTGCGAGTCGAGCGCGAAACCACCCGGCCATGCCGGGCCCCCATACAGTGAAAGTCAGTAGAAAATTTGTCAGAATGTTTAGTCTAATGTTGATATAAATTATTGAGAGACTTGTTGCTACAGGAATTGATTTTGGTATTGAACAGTTTTGTGCAATCGTATTCATGGCTTCAAAGTGAGAATATCTACGACGGATAAAGTAGTTCCCAGGGCAGCACAAGATCTGGAACATCGTTCTTATGAAGTGCGATTAACCCTCGGTATAATTTTAAAACAAGAAGGTTGTGCTTAAAACTAATATACATTGTAACTTGAAATAATTGGAAAGTTTTTTTTTTTGAATGAGGAACCTCATTCACATTATTATTTCCTGATGTACTATTAAAATATTTTTATTTACTAATTTACTGATAATTTTACTGTCTTGACACAAGGGCCAGGCGTGGTCTGACATTTAGTGTGTCCGGACTGTATATCCGCAAGTTCATATTTCACGATCTGTTGTTACGCAAACGCGCTCCGCACATTAGGTCGACTGTCTGCCTTTCCTCCAGCATGTTAACTCAAAATTAGAGACGGCTGTATGTATACAGCCTTTGTGTAGATGTGCGCGAAAATTATAAAAATACAAACAAAGAAACTCTTAGGATAAATATATGATATTTTAAACCCCCAGTGGCACAGCGATATATCTGCGGACTTACAACGCTAAAAACTGGGTTTCGATACCCGTGGTAGGCAAAGCACAGATAGCCCATTGCGTAGCTTTATGCTTAACTACAAACAAACAAAATTAAATATTTTATAGAAATAAATAAATAAAATTCAAGTAAAGCCTTTTTGAATCAGATGGTCTTTGAAGGATTTAATTCAATATCTGAGAATCACAGTTTTACTAATGAAGATTTTGTTAAATAATTTCATCTTACTCTACTGCTACTTAACTTTCAGGTGCACATCTTGCGAGTATTTTTGTTTCTTTATATTGACTATTCTAGCCAATATTACGTGTCTTAATCACATTTACAAAGTAGACTTTGTCCATGTAAAACTTTGATTTGAGATAAGCGGATAAGAATAGTGGCGAACTGCAAAAATTTGAGTGACTTATTCTGGATTTACAAAGTAGGATTTGGACTTCATAATACTGAACTATTGAAAACAATAAATTGGCATGAGTAAGTCACCGCCCATTGTCGTATTTTAACTTGTGACAATAATAACCAACTTTACCTTTTTTTTACCTTCCCGACAGTTTCGAACTTCCGCTCGTTAAACAGGAACACGAACGAAGCATTCAGTTAACCCTGTACAATGATGAATCTTATCTAATAAGTCAGCGAGAAAAAAGTTTAAACTGTTGAAAGTATTTTATGAAACACGCAGGATTTTTAGTATTGGCATAAACCAAAAATACATGCTTCATCACTTGAGCGCGCTTTCGCTTTTTGGATCATCGTGGTTGGCTCTGCTCACTCGTATCGCAAACCAGAAAGATGTAGAATCACGTGATTACTTTCTTGCTGCTCGTAAAGCGCATGAGCCTGCTGTTGTGGTTATCTACTTTTCGTTCTTAGTGAGACTGCGTACACGTTAACTTCAATGTGGCGCGAAAACGATCTTCTAAGACAGGAAACTCGTTAGGAGTTGTGGTCGATAAAGGTGTAGTTATACTTTATTCAAAATTATCTTAATACATAGGAAACGAGAGACAGTTTGCGTAATAGTCATGAGTCAGTAAAAGAACGAAATAACATATAGTGACCACGCCTGAAGAAGGAAGCTGATGAAGGGAACCTTGACTGACTCCTTTGGATGCTGGTAATATTAAAGGAATAAAAAATGCATCAAATCACCACCAAACAACAGTCATCACCATAATAAAAAAACGAATGCTGTGGAAACAAAGACGTATTTTATATAAACAAATATTTTTTAATTTGCAGTCGCTAGTTGCTGGTAACATCATAAAACAAACACGTTTAGAAAGTAAAACATCTTAATTTTTGATGCATAAGTAAAAATATTTTCATTAAATAACGTCGTAATTTCAAATTCGAGCCCATTATACTTCATCGGGTTATCAACATATTACTTTTAAAGACATAAGATAAAAACTAAAAAAATTCAAATTTTGTGTGAATTTTGAGTGACACATTCTTTGTATTATCAAATATCCAATTATGTTGTTATTTGTAACGTTTTAAAAATTATACAATTGTTCTGAAAGATAAGTAACATGTCAGAACATTTACTGAGGAATATATAAATACATAATCAGTTAAATTTTGCATTGAATAAAGTTAAAAAAGGCCTTGAAAAAAAGCGAAACGTCGGGTAGAATATAAAAAAATATTATTTGAAGTTGTTTGTCATCTTCATTGCAAAAGTTAAGAACAATATAAATAGTTCTCTCAAAGCTCAGAATTACAAAACTAATTTATATAACATTCGTGTGAACAATGACATTTCGCAATGATTTAAGAGTGCATTACTCTGAACTTTTGGATATGTTTAATGGGTTTTCTTATGCGGTCTTTCTTACATTTTAGACCATGCAGATATGCACAAAAACCTTTGATGACTTTTTAAAGGGATATATGAAGTTGTGCTCTTGTCCCTGAAAACAACATCCAGGATTATCATGTTAGAAACAATTGTCTTTGTGAACGCTTGTACAGAATTAGAAGTTTTTTGTTTTATTTTATCAAATGTTTAATACACGAAACAAGGTATGAAACATTCAGTTTATTCCTAAGTAGTAGATCTAAGTTGGGGATAATTTATTTAAGGTGCTGTTAAAATAACCGGCATGTAATATTAGAATGTTGTGTAGGAATGTTAATAGTGATTCGTAAAGACGGTGTTTACGTATGTTGTGTATTATCAGTGATGAAAATGTTTTATGTAAATGTTGTAAAATGTTGGTGGTTTCTATATCGCAGCGAATTTGTTTTTAATTTATTTTAATATCAACGTTTGTTTGAATTAAATTTATATTTAGAGACATGCATAGCTTATACTGTCAAATATGTTCTGCGAAACTCCCGCCTATTCTCCAAAACTGTAGAAGAATCAACAGTGTGTGCACATAAATGCTTGTGTTAGCGGCAGTATTGTTACATAAAACTGAAATTTCTAGAAAAACCTCCACACGTCTAAAAATATAACCAGCGCGACGCGCCAAAAAGAGAGAGTATCTATTATTAGTTCGCTATAGTTAGTGGGCTATAAACTTTGGAAGCTATAACTGTGATTGTTATAACGCTTGCCAATCGGAAAACTTCAGATACTTGACCAGGAACCTTTACAAAGTTCGAACATTACAAATCATCTAACTTCAGTGGATTCACATTGGACATTAGTACTTTTACGAAAACATTATATAAATTCAGCGTGGAAAACTCGACGTGTGTGGCCGATAAATAACGAAGGATAAAGCTAGCTAGCTTCCCTTTAAGTGAATTGTACCTACATCAAC